CGATCAGTTCAATATAATCAACGCGTACATCGGCGAATGTCAATACCGTCCGGTCAACTTTTTTTGCAGAAACACATTTTTGTTTACTATAAAGTTTATATTTTCGTATTATATATTTATTATTCTCACAGATTCCTTAATTTCATCGACAAATATTGTAAAACAAAAGAGATATTAACACCTGTTGTCGACCAGTTGAATATATGTATAGCGTATATCGGCGAGTGTGAAATCCGTCCGGTCAACTTTATTTGCTCAAAAATATTTTTTTTCATTTATTTTGTTTTATTTTCTTAAAGTATAGTTTAATATCTCTAAGGTCTACAAATATTAAAAAAATCTACAGAAAAACAAAAAAGTTATGACTATTTATATCTCATCCGGTCAATCGTCCTGTCACTATCCGGGCAATCGTCCTGTCATTAGTGCTTCCCAATTTGAAAACAATTATTTGTATCGACAAGGACGATAACCCATTCTCGGTCCATATGGGGTAACTTGCTAATTTGACATATGCGATAAGACGCACAATTAAGGGGTTAAACACCCGCTGGTCTGTAAAGATAACTTCAGCGAAAACCAATACCAGATGTTATCGATAAAATAATTTTGATTCATGTTTTCTGTATTTTGGTGTAGTTTGTGAAATTAATTCGGAAGGGCCGGAGTTCCTATTCGATCTTTGTTGAAACCTGAGACTACTGTCCAAGTTGAAACATTGAAACGGCGCGAGATGTTTTAATGAATAATGCATATAAATAAAATTAGATATTTTTATTCAAAATGAATTGAGCATCAAACTGATTGAAATGTATTTGAAATTTTAGTTCAACTATTTTACATATAATTGGCCGAAAAGCCGTTGTCTTACGTTTTTTTTTTATATATATATATAAAACCAGAGACATATAATATGTATTATATGTCTCTGATAAAACGGTACCTCGAGAATTCGGAATGTCTATCATTTTATTTAATTTTAAACATCCATTGGCAGTTCATAATTATTGAATTTAACAGTATACATTGAGTGAGGATAACAGCACAATTCCTCGAGTTAAATGAACTGTTGTTGGTTAATGTCTGTCATATTTGTTTTTCGTAAATTGTTTTGTTATAAATTAGGTCGTTAGTTTTCTCAATTGAATAGTTTCATATTTTTCATAATGGGGCCTTTTAAAGCCGACTATACGGTATGTATTTTTCTCATTGTTGAAGGCCGTACGGTAGCCTATAATTGATTACGTCCACTTCATTTGAACTTTGGTAGATAGTTGTCTTATTGGCAATCATACCACATCTCTTTAATTTTATATGTAGGTTGGATGCGTACTGGTAGATAATTTATCTTCAGATCGGTACTTTAGATCTTTTTTCTTCTGTAGATAGTTTTTTAAATTTCATGCCCATCTGACAAGGAAGCCTTTTCCTACTAATTTCAACAGTTTGGTCTTGTGTTGTGCTTTTATACCACTGCCTCAAGTTCAGTGGGATTAAGATAGATTTGAGCACTCACAAACATGTTTAATCCCGCCGCATGCCACGGTTTATAGTTCTGTTTAAAGTCAGGAACAAATTACTTGTAATTATGTGGTTTTCGTTTCTTGCTGTCTGAAATATTTATTTTCTTGTTGTTATTGGTTTAGCATAAACCAGTTCGTTGGTTTTTTCCCTGTTTTAATTGTTTCGATAATTAACATGAGATCTGTCAAAACATGTTTAACCCCGCCGCATTTTTGCGCCTGTCCCAGGTCAGGAACCTCTAGTCTTTGTTAGTCTTGTGTGGTTTTTTTTTAAATTTTGGTTCATTTATATGTTTCGGAGTTTGGTGTGGCGTTCTTTTTGCTGAACTATTATACATTATTGTGTAGGGGCAGCTCAAGCCCTCCTGCGGGTGCGGGATATTCTCGCGCTGCGTTGAAGACCCATTGGTGGCTTTAGGCTGTTTTCTGCTCTTTGGTCGGGTTGTTGTCTCTTTTAACACATTTCCCGTTTCCATTCTCAATTCTATCCTACAAAGCTTACTATACGATATGGGTTTAGCTGATAAAGGCCGTACAGTAACTTATAGTTGCTTTCAACCACGTCCTTTGGTCTATAGATATAAGAAGATGTGGTATGAGTGACAATGAGACAACTCTCCATCCAAGTAAAAATTTATAAAAGTAAACCATTATAGGTCACAGTACGGTCTTCAACACGGGGCCTTGGCTCACACCGAACAGTAAGCTATAAAGGGCCCCAAAAAATTACTAGTGTAAAACCATTCAAACGGGAAAACCAACGGTCTAATGGTGACAAGTTGTCTCATTGCCAATTTTACCACATCGTCTTATTTTGTAAATTATTGTATTTACTTCTAAGTTAAACCAGAGACAAATATATATATATATATGGCTCTAGTTAAACCATTATTTATGAAGGAACGGGGGGTTTAAAGCTTTTCATACATTATGATAGCCAATTTATTCAGTTAAAGCTTACAGAACCCTCTATTATCTTGTGAATTTTGTGGGTTGAGGGTAGGTCATCTCGTGGATATTTACCTAATATCTCACATTGTATCAACATCTACGACGCAAACAATAGAGAAATTAAACAAGAAACAGAAAACATACAAGCTTTCAGCATCGTTTCCCCCCCATATATCCACAGGTATATACCCTGAAGCTGACATGTTAATTGTCATACAAGTACCTGTTCAAAACTAACAATCTTTATCGTTTTGTGAAGAAATTATTGATTTTTTATTTAATACTGTTTCGATTCAATAAATTTTAATTGAGATGAAAAGCTAGGGATAAAAAATTGACAAAGGGAATTTAATAAAAAGTATTTTTTTTTTTTTTTTTTTTATTTATTTTATACACTTTTCGTTTTGATCATTTTTGTCATCAACAAGTTTCTTTTTGACGGCGAATGTATAATTTAAGTAATGAATGTATTTCAAAACTATTTAACGGGTCTTGAAAGGTGCAAACTTTCCAATTTATTGTGCGCACATATTATTATTCGTGCATTTAGTTTCAAGAAATTAAATAACAGAAACTCGGTTTGATGTAAAATATATTATTAGATTTCATCTTGCCGTATCAAGTGGTCGAATTCGTAGTGTATTCTAAATGTTGTTTTTTATGCACTCTTTAAAGCGCGACGAAATGGAATTGTTCTCCTATATGATTGTGTATTCAAATCGTGTTAAAATTGCCTCAAAAAAGATTATCTATATAGGGATTGTCAAGAAAACGAGCCAGTTGTCTGATTGACAATCATACAACATCTTCTTCTTTTTTTTTTTTTAAATTAGATGTGAATAGAAACGATTTAATGCCATTGAAAAAAATATGATTGTGTATTGATAAAACATCCAGATGAACAAGCATTTATTTAAAATAATGCGTTTTAGATTTTGATATATTTATTAATTTTTCGGTTTTAACCACGTGAAAACAGAAACAAAAAATAACTTAAAATCTAATCATCTTCAGCAAGGATTTGTATAGTGAGATATACAAATCCTTGTCTTTAATTATGAAAAAAACGTTAATTATAATTATATAGTGTTTTGCTATTCCTTCAACCCTAAATCAAGTTTATACAAAATGTCGTTTACACTATAATACATGACTCTGGGAATATATTATGGCTCAGCATGACTGTATAAACACGATTGTATAACAATTTTTTATCTGTTTACACACACGATGTATCCCGTTGTCAAATAGAAATTGATAGAAAAAAAAACAAAAATCGCCTACTTTTAAATCAAATTAGGAGCAAGAAGAAAATAACCAATTTGAAAATAAACTACACCATGCTAAGCTTTAACTTTTCATCTTTTTCTCGGTCGCAACAGCTAAGGTATATCATAAGTAGAAGTATTGTATTTATTTTTTCAAAGCTGACCACTCTTCCGAATAATGACATTTTCCTGTAAGAATATAACGGCAAAAGTAAGCCATTTGACATCACTGTAAAAAATCCAAATTTGTTGCAAGAAGTTCAAACTTTATTTTAAAATAATTTAAATCATTAAAAAGAAGACACATTAAGGATTCTGGGGATCGCAGCAGCTAAGAAAACCACTGAGAAGAAAATTGAATATCGTCTTGTAAAGATTATTTTCCCTATAACTTCTCTATAACGATTTTATCCATGTAGGGTATCTGAATTCACGCATGCGCAATATTGACCGGACTGATTCTTGACAATGCTCAGCAAGCCTGAATCAAAAAGGCCTTGAAACGTAAGAGCAATCTCTGACTTCTTAACTTGAGTCCGGTGACAAACATTCCACGCAAATATGGACACTATATATATATATATATATATAACACTAAATATTGTAGACTCTGCAAAGTGGATCGACCTGTATGAAGGACAGAAATTATTTGGACTGCCATGCACAATCTGGAAATGCAGGTATATTGTATTAGTGACCTGTATGGTTCATGAAGTTGCAGAATATAAGTACACTAACAGCGACTGAACATTATTTAGTATTTGCTTGTTTAGCTTATAATTGTCTTTTTGTCGTCTATAATAAGTGAATGAATCTTAGTGTACATGCTCGGTGCTTATTTTTGTCTCGCCTGCGAATTTGTCGTAGATGCATCAGTTCATATAGTAAGCGTAAAAGGCTGCGAAATTACAAATGTAAAACAGTTCAAACGAGAAAACTAACGGCCTGATTTATGTAAAAAAAAAAGACAATAAACGAAAAACAAATATGATATACAGCAACAAACGACAACCACTGAATAACAGGCGACTTGGGACAGGCCGGAACATACAGATTGAAACACCTCTTTGTGTCAATGGAAAGCGACAATGATCCCGAACCAACGTCTGCAACAACATATCCACGATTAGTATAGGCAGAGGCATATATATAATTATATGTAAATATGTCTTGTATTTCCCTGGTATAGGTAAGTGTTCATATTTACCGCTATTTATACTTTTAAGAGTGTTCGGATTATTGTTCATGATAAAACCCGATGGCTTCAAAATGATTTGTTTACTTCCGTCATTTAGTTAAATTTCGAAATATATATTAAAAACAACGTAATTTGGTTTGAAATGCAGATCGCTAGAACGAAATGGTAAGTAAACATGTTCTTATTTATTCAATATACGATGGAAAGGGTAAATCAATATTTTAAGTCCATGCCGGTATACGTTACATATCAGTTATGATATTATTTTTGATAATAGTTCATTGAACAGCGGCATTACCAAACGGTTATTGAGCCCGGGACCCCTTAAATTGTATGCAATTGCTCTACCGATTCTAAGAACTCATAACAAACGGTTTCAACGAAAATGAGATAAATCATGCAGCAACCCATCGATATTTCATATGTATGTCATTTGGCTTAATGGAGGGTTATTGTATTCTATCACTGACAATTGTTTATTTAGTAACGGGAATCATGATCTGAACTTATTAATGTATTAATTTATTCATTACGTTCAAAAATATATCTAGCTAATATCTGCCTTTTGTGTAAACAATATTCCTACTATGATTCCATAATTGATTGGAGAGAATTTGGTATTGATCAGATGGCAGATCTTTGACTTCTCAGTCTCTGTTAAATTTATGCACATATCTTTTAGAATCGGGCGCTTTAGAGCTTAACATAATGTACATTTTTGTATGGACACGTAGTGTAAACAATATTTTATTGTGAAAATAATACCATAAACACATTTCGTGTACACTTTGACAGTTTTGTTAGGATTGGAAAACAATTGATGACGGAGACCATGTGTTGACCATTTATAGGTGTCTATTTGGATTATAAGTGTTTTCAGTTGCTCTAAATGAGGTTTGCTGTACATCCACACATCCTTTTATTCATAATAGGGGCCTCGGTGGCCGAGTGGTCTAAGTAGTTACTACTGTAATTGTAACAGTGGTTTGATTCCGCCAGTGTACTTTATCCGGAGAATGAAAATTCCTAGTGATTTTTATCCACCAACAAAAAATCACTAGGTTTTTTTATCCGGGTCCAGTGTAAAATATCCACCACTCATCATAAGATTCTAAAGAGGGGTTTTTGATTGGGAAATATATATATATATAAAAAATGGGCTTGGTATATTTGGGGGGTATTTGAAAACTTGCATAGTTGATTTATGTTTAACAAGGTAAACAAGTGTTTTTCATCCAAGGAATGTTCACACTAGTGTTTTTGAACCAGGAATGATTCCACTAGTGCTATTGTACCAGGAATGATTACACTAGTTATTTTGAACCGGAATTGATAACACTAGTGTTTTAATTCCATACATTAATGAAGTGTTTTAGTACTCATTTTGACCACAAGATTACAAAATAATGCTTATTAATAAATTAGAATTAAATAATTTTATTACGCAAATCCATAAAATCATATGCTTTTAAATTGTCACTAATTCTAATATTCATATAAACTGGATTGCCGAAGTTTTTCTGTGCATTTGCGTTTTGGTCGACTTGGAGATAAAATCATATCTTCTATTTCAATATCTAAGGATGCTTCTGTGATTGAAACTTTTGGTAAGAACAAATCTGTGCTTTGGTTTATATCAAGTTCAATGCTCTGATTATTGATAAAAGTATTGTGAGTTATAAAAATATCCCCATTATCATCAATATTATTCGCTGGGTTGATTCAGATTAATTAAATTGGTTCCTTGAAAATCATTCTAATTTTAACCCATTGATTTATGTAAACAATAAACGGTACCTGTCTAATATAAACAAAACAAAGGTATCAAGATTGACGCTTTCACACTATTTACAACTAATATTCTCTAGTGAAATACAGTTACCCGGAATAAATACACGGTGGAATGAAAGTACGCTTACATAATCACTAGCCAGTCAACACTGAGGTGAGTTCGAACCCCGCTCGTGCGGGTGCACTCGACTCCAATCTTAATTGACTAGGATTGTCAGTTTTCCTATCGAAGGTCGGTAGTTTTCTCCGGGCACTCCGGCTTCCTCCACCAATAAAAACTGGCCGCCACGAAATAGCCCAAAAGCGGTGCTTAAAAGTGGCGTTAAAACACAAAAAATCAAATCAATCAATTTTATTCATAATCATGACGAAGGAAAACAGTATTAGTTAATGTTTAGTTCAAGCGGACATGTATCAATAGATCTCACCAGTCTTGCACTTTGAAAGCACAGTTCGCTGTCCTTTCACTGAATAATATCATGACTTTCTTAGTGAATGGTTACTGCTTACAAGGAAACTAGTGCACCAAGGGTTTCTCTAACCGCTAATTAAGGTTGAAGTCGTCCCTTTTTAAGTCTCACGGACGCCACCATGATTTGGTTGACTGTTAATGGAATATCTGTGTCACAGATGAGCACAAATATGTTCCCTTTGTCGTTACCACAATCCCTTCCTCTTTTCCTCAATCGTGACATTACCGAATGAGACGTATCATCGGATTTGTAATTGCATGAGCGATCATGAGCAAGACGATGGTTTTGATTGCTACCTTGCTATCTTGACTCTTTTTTTCCCCAAGATACTTGGGATCCAAAATCAGGTCAACTCAATTTTTTTTATAAAACTTATTAAGTTCGGTATTAACGCATTTTTAGTGCCCTCCTATGGTATAGTTGGGAGAATTACGTTTTCTGGTCTATACGTCCGTCCCGTATCGGGTAACACATTTTGACCGTATGTATTTCACCACGAAGTTGTGATCACATCAACTTTAAACTTATTGCACGTAATCATTACGATGTGTACTTTTTAATTTTAGCTAAATTACAATTTTGACCAAGGTTTCATTTTTTTTTACTGCACATGTTAATGCGATAGTTCGAGCGCGGCATGATGTCTTAAGGACACATCTTTTTGTTTATGGGGGATTGACGTTTCTTATACAAATCCATGCCTGCTCGAACTATCGCATTAACATGTGCAGTAAAAAAATGAAACCTGGCGGTCAAAATTGTAATCATTTTTTTTTTACAATTTTGACTGCAGACACTTCTGACATGGACCCCTTTAGTTATTTTTCTTTGTGTTATTGACATTTTCAATAAAAGTAGAAGGCCATATATGCATGTAGAGAGCGTAGCATTCTCTCTCATAACTGCAACAAGACTGGACATGATGACGTATTTATGTATTCCAAACTAGCGTCCTTCCTCATCAACCTTAATGTATGATCATGTATGGGTCCGGGAATGAATGGAATTTCGAAATAGATAATTTAGAATAATTTTGGCCTCAGCTTTCTCCTATTACAACTACTATGAAGTGAAAATGAATCTCCAACATGAGCCCATGGTCATCCCCTTCCCGGCCCTCAAATCTCGCCTCAAATCCGCCTCTGTAAAGTTACAGAGGTTCTCTGCGGTTTGAGGATGCACTTCATGTGATTGTAATTCCTTTTTTTTTGTGATTCATATACATGGTTCTTATCTTTTGCAGATGTATAATGTTGATGTCCGAAGACTGTTTATTACCATATATACTATTACGTTTGTATCATGCGGTTTAGAACAAGGTATGTACCATTCTCTATCAAAATAATGTCGAGTTTTTCTAAACATTAAACTAAAAATATACAGCGAAAATTGTATAGTGTATAAAGTCTTTAGTTAGTAGATATAAGAAGATGTGGTATGAGTGTCAATGAGACAACTCTCCATCCAAGTCACAATTTGTAAACGTAAACCATTATAGGTCAAAGTACGATCTTCAACACGGAGCCTTGGCTCACACCGAACACCAAGCTATAAAGGGTTGTTTGTTTGTCGAGATACGAATGAAATGATTTCGTTTTTGAAATGAGAGAGGGATTAGACATAATTATAGCAACATATCATTTCAACGAGTGACACAAAAGTGTGGATGGTACTTACATCTGTACTATGGAAAGACAAAGGAGTCAAAAGTTTATTCTAACTTGCAAGTATGTTGTTCTATTATTTTGAAATGCTATCTTAAATGAAAAATGTAATTTTAATTATCATTTTAAATCGGCTATATAATCGTAAAAATTTATAATGACATTATCATCCCATTTCAGACAACGATGTAACAAATTTAAGTGACTCAAATGGAATAAATGTGATTTTATTTTGTGCTGTTTGTCTTGCCTTCCTGGTAGCCTTAGTGCTGACTGTAGTATCATGTGGTGGTTGTGAAGATATGAGTGGAGACGTTGCCTCCGAAAGCCATCCAGCATGTGGCAAACAAAGTAACAATTACAGTACAGTAGTAACGGATGCTAACACTTCCGTACTTATGTCGTCCCATACTATGGGTGATAGTGCAAATGGTTCAATAATTCCACCACAGAACTTACCTTATTCTTTACACCCAGCATCTACCCAAGGGTTCACGGGATACCAGAGTAGTAGTACTACTGCATCAGCACCACAAGACGAGCCGCCACCTCCTTCGTATGAACAAGCCAATAGACAAAGTGGTCTTGCTGGATATGGTTATTGATAGGGGGTGTTTATTTTGTCTTTGAAACAATTTCACTGTGATAATTTTGTTTAATACCTTTTTTATTCAGAGCTTACATGTTTATGAATTAATCAATGACATACCACATACATGTACAAGTTAGGACATAGTTCTTTCCGGCTAGACTATGAAAAAAAACAACACATTGGCATATTTCATGAATGATTGATAAACTGAAGTATATTTCCTGTTGTAATAAGAGAATATAATACAGATTAGAAAATTAATATGGTTTGATTTTCCAGAAGTTATAAATATTAATCATAATCAAAAAGGATTAATTGTAAGACGAGAAGAAATTTTAAAGAAGAATATCATTTGTCTTCCTACAGCGCTCACATTACCCATCCAAATTATTCTTTCTTAATTGTTTATGTAAAATGGGGATTTATTTGACCTAACACATTCAGTTGTTACAATACATATGCATGTCTTTACCTAGAAGGTTTGTTGATTTACATGACAATATAGTGCGTTGTTTCCTCGTTCTCCTGTGTTACACAATGTTATTAAGCTGTTTTTTTACAATTAGCAACATTATATTTTATTGTTTGTATTTACCGAGTCATAACAAGTTATACTTTAATACAGTATATATATTTATGCCATCCATTTAGTTATTTATTATATGAATTAAATGATAAAACAGACTTGTTTTCTTTATAAAATACATTGGTTTTCACATACGATCAACAATAAGCAAATGCACTTTCTGGCAGTACATGAGAGTAATATAAAAATAAGGATATTATGTATGATTACCAATGAGACACCTATCACCAGAGACCAAAGGATGAGGATATAAACAACTATAGATCACTGTATGGCCTTCAACAATGTACAAAACTCATATTGTATAGTTAGCTATACAAGCCACTAGCAGCTGGCATGACAAAATGTAAAAAAAATCAAACGAGAAAATCAAAGGTCTGATTTTTGCTGAAAAAATTAAATATTTTATTTAGAACAGTTTCAAGATAGATAGATAGATACTTTATTCTTTTAAAAACTAAATACAAGTTTACACAGAAACATACAATATAAATACAAATACAATAGTTGAGGTAAACAAATGCAGTACGATATTCTAGAATGGAGTACAAAATGCGGTATAAAAAGAACAATTTCATATTGTCTCAAAGCATAAATTTGATCTATACCTGACTTGAAACAACATATTTGTTTACATCCTCGTCCTTTGGTCTCTGTAGGATAATTGTCCCGGTTGGCAATCCCTAATCATATTAACCCTGAACCCCAAAAAACATATGTTTCTTTGCTTTGTACAAAAAAAAAAACATTTTTGAGACTTTATTCTATATATAACAAAAATATGTAGAATTGATATACTTGTATAACCTGGTCTGAGAAGGTTTTAGAGGTCTAATAACGATACAGTTTTTTATAACTCAGCAAAGCATTTCTGGTATTATAAATATCATCAATTAGATATAAGAAGATGTGGTATGAGTGCCAATGAGACAACTCTCCATCCAAGTTACAATTTATAAAAGTAAACCATTATAGGTCAAGGTACGGCCTTCAACACGGAGCATTGGCTCATACCGAACAGCAAGCTATAAAGGGCCCCAAAAATTACTAGTGTAAAACCATTCAAACGGAAAAACCAACGGTCTAATCTATATAGAAACGAGAAACACGTATGAACTACATAAACAGACGACAACTACTGTAATCAGATTCCTGACTTAGGACAGGTGCAAACATTTGCAGCGGGATTAAACGTTTAAATGGTACCAAACCTTCTCCCTTTTCTGAAACAATAGTATAACATCACAACATAGAAAAACACACTATAAAATATCAATTGGAAGGCTTAACTCAATCAAAAAACGTAAATTAACACAATGAACGAATAAATTTGACCTGTGACACCTGAATGCAAATACAGTTAATAAAAAATTACAAGGGATAAATTATTAAAGTCAAAAGTAAATAAACAGGTTTTAATGAATTTAATTCAAATTATATCATTTTCGTAACAAGTAAACATTTTAAATCTAGTTTCATGGTCGATCTCTCAAAAAAGCATCGACTCAGAAAATCATCAGGTGGCCGAGTAGTTCAAAAGAAAAACAAAAGTAGTTTAAAAAACGAAAAATAAGTTATCTATGTAGTCATCACTAGCCTGTTATCTGAGGTAACTAATTTGAACCCTGCTCGTCGCGCTGTGTGTTCGACTCCGAAATGACTTTTATGCCCTCGCCGTAGCGTCCCAAAATTGGTTTCCGTTCTCTTAACTTGAGTTTGCCTCAACCATATGTTATGAAACTTATACACAATGCTTAATGCTACATACCTGTTACTTGTTACCTGTATGGTAGGTTCATCCTTTCTAAGGGTCACTCCTAATGGGATTTATTTAGGTTAGTATTAAATATGTACATTATTTACAATTGTACATTTAAACTTTTTAAAATATCAATACCTGTACAGTAACACCTTAAAACAAGAAACTCCTACTTTCACTTGATAGACTGATATATAGTTCATATAGATAAATTTAACTCTTGTTCGGCAGGGTTGTCCGTTTTGTATGTAGACATAGCATAATGTTCGTGTGATATTCTCAATGTCTCTGATATTTTGATGTTTGATCTTAACTATTTGCTTGATCTTTTCAGATGATGAGTCCATAATAAACTGCACCATGAGTCCTTCATCCACAATTTTATCAAATATCTCGTTGCCTGTGTTGTTGATAACGTATGATTTTAGTGTTGTTAAATATTTATCTCTTTCGGTTTTCAGTGCATTGCATTCTAGCATAAAATGTTCTGTATCTTCCGTAGCTGAATTGCACAATAGGCACATATCCTACTATACATTTCTGCTAAACTAGGCACGGTCTATTTGAAGTGTATAAGTCCTAGTTATGAGCTTTGCTTTTATTTCTGCTTTTTATACTTCTAAAGTATTATTTGAGGTGAATTTCCATATTTGGTGAGGATTTCCAATTGGCCTTGTTTTAATATTAATGTATTTCATTGTAGATTTTTCAGTTTTTTCTATCTTCCATTTCTCTGCCCAATATTGCTGAATGGCACACTTGACAGTTGTTTTCCATTTTTCCCTAGTTGGTTTGACTAATAACAGTTCCTGAGCTTTTAGTAGTTTGTATTTTGATAAAGCAGTTTCTAATCTACTAATGAATGTATTAGCATTTTGTTTCGACATTATAAGTTGCCTTTCTATAATTCTGTATTCTATGCTGGTGTTGTCTTGAATTATGCCTCCAAAAAATGTGAGTAGCAGTCGGTCCACAGTTGACTGTATTGGTTCTATACCTAGTAAACTATAGTTGACAGCACTAGCAACTCATTTTGGTAGTCCTTGTATCTGTCTGCATATTTGTAGTTGGAGTCTCTCCATTTTTGTGATGTCAGATTTTGTGTAGTTTAGGACCTCATTGCCATACAGACTCCTTGGCAAGGCGTAAGTTTGCCAGAGTTTTGCTGAGACAATTGGCGACATTCCCTTTCTGGCAAGCATAGCATATTTAGTACGTCGGGCAACTTTTAACCGGTCTTCTATATTTACTTTATTCTTTATAGTTCTTATAAGACCAAGATGTTTAACCTCTTTCTTTTCGTCAATTTTATTGTTTCCTAGATAAACATTTAGTTTTTGTTGAACTTTCGTTAACGGCACAATTTCAGATTTTGTAGGATTGATTGACACAAAGTCTTTGTTTGTCATATCATGGACTATATCTAGTAGAGACTGAACCTCATGCTCCTTGTTGGCCAGTATGACAATGTCATCCGCACAAATTGGAGCGACAACATTAATGTTGCCTATTCGTGCACCTATGTTTTACCTTTCTAATGCTTCTAAGATGTTGTTGTTATAGCGTTTATATAGAACAGTCGATAACTTTGCACCTAGTCTAACACCTATTTCTTGTGTAAATTTATCTGAAATGCTATTGTTCCACTTAACTTTAACTGTTACATTCCTGTACATATTTCTTAGCAATAACCACATATTTCCCCCAATTCCATCATGGTACATTTTGTTAAAGAGGATTTCGTGATGTAGTTTATTGAAAGCCTTTTGAGCATCTAATATAAGTAATATGAGTTCTTCTGGGATCTCTTTGTGAAAATCTGCAGCAGCAGATACAATAAAGGCAGTATTTAATGACGATGTTTTTTCAGCGAAGCCTCTTTGTAGCTTACTTTGAATTTTCAGGAGTTTGGGTTCTAACCTGTCTTTTAAAATACCTACTATTAGGATAGAAAAGGTATTGGTTACTGTAATACCACTATTATTCTCTGAATGTAATTTATCTTGCCCACTCTTGTGTACCGGAGAAACTACTCCTTCTTTTGTTTCTTGTGGCAAATCTTTATCCTTAAATATAAGGTTCACTATATGCACTATGTACGTAAAAAGTTCTTCCGGCATTAGTTTGAAATGCTCTGCTGATAGTCCATCAGGACCAGGACTTTTTCCAGTTTTAAGTGCCTTAACTACACCCTGCACTTCTAAGATATTAGTATTGTCAATTTCTATATTTCTTTCTGTTTCCAGTTCTTCTATTATTTTGTTTTGTACCTCTATCACTCTAAGTTTTTCTGTACTAAAGTTTTGATGACTGTTGAGATTGTCAAGTTTGTATAGATTTTCGAAATAGTCTTTCCATCCACTCATCATTAGCTCTGGATCTGATTCCTCAATACCATTAAAGACCATAGTTTCAGTTAAAATATTGTTACATTTTCTTATGAAGTAAGTCTACTAGTTTTGAGATTTCACTAGACGCATTATCTAGGTTGACATGCAGTGTCTATATTTGTCACAGATTCTCTGATTGCTTCCTGATATTTCTCCTTGTCACATCTTGCCCAGTTTGGCCTTTTAATAATTTGTTTTTTACCAAGACTACTCTGTGAGCCCTTTATTATTCCAGGTATTATTGCTACTAGAAGCGTATGATCTGATACATTCGGAGGATTTCTATCTTCTATCTTAACTGTATATATAAAGTTGACATCACAATCTTTGTGTATGATATAATCGATCTGTGAAGACATCACTCCATAATGATGATAAAATGTTGGTGCCTTTGGATAATTATCTGTTAAACACAAGCCATTGTTTTCAATAAAGCATTTAAAGCGTTTATCTCTTTCTCTATCATCCCTAAAGAGGGAAGCATTCATGTCTCCACATAACATAACTTGGTACCCAATATGATGGTACTTTTCTATTATCTCTTATATTTGCAAGAGATGGTCAATATAAAGTTCATCTCCATGTTTATTATGAGACGGCATGTAAACACCAATTAGACATAATGGGTTATTTGAAATGTTTAAAGTTAATGTTTGGTCATAATACAGATTAAGTACGAAATTTGGTGAGAACACTTTTACCATTCTTGAGTTAGGTCCCTTTATAAACATAAAAATTGCTGAATTTTTCGTTTCCGTTCTCTAACTTTAGTTTGTCTCAACCAAATGTTATAAAACTTATACGTTCTAGAGTTATGCGTGTTTACAAATAGAAAAAATACTGAATTTTTAGTTTCTGTTCTCTCCTTAAGTTAGCCTCAACCAAATGTTATGAGACTCACACACAATGCTTATTACCACAAAACTCCGATCAAGTTTAAATTTCGGTA